CGAAATATACAGAAAGCTGTTCAGGCAGCACATTGATTTGAACTCCACCCTAAAAGTTTTAAAATGGAATATTTTTCAAATTAATTTATTTTGAATTATCAGTACTAATTATTATTTGCGGATAGGTTAATCACGCTTGGCAAAAGCATGACAGGTGGAATCGATGGTCATAGAATTTTCTTTCGTTGAAAAAATGTTCATCCAATTTCGTTTCTTTTTAAGTAACTAATTATGTATGATACAAAGTATTTTCTCTCTGAATATGAGTTAAACTCGTTAGTTTTGTAACATATAAATTAATTGTGCGTAGAAATTTAGTACGTTAAGCTTGTAAACTATTCTCTTGATTTACATTTTCTGCGAAATTAGGACGAGATTATTGACTTTAATTTACTTAAGTTACTCAAGATTGAAACAATGAAATACGCAATTCACTGGTTTAAAGACAAAGAAGTAAGATGCGTTTTATAAAGAAATAATAGTACACTTACTTCTAATTTTGTTAAATTGATTGTAGTTACTTCACCCAAAGGCGCGCCATTTATAAATTTTTGTCTTTCCTTTTCTCGATATTCCATAAACTTATGAATGATATAGTTAATCTGTGGAAGACACAATATTTTTAATTGCCTTACAAAATATTTTAAACTGAATATAATTTGAAGTTGTAATATGTAGTATTGTTATTATAATAAAATGTACGATTACTGATAGACATTTTACCTTTTCTCCGGCTGTGACAGCTTCCTTATGGAGCATAGCGCCATGACCAGTCACCCCCTTGCATGTTATTTTGACTTCTGCAAATTAATAACCTTTTGCAATAAGAAGAAAATAGCTAATACCACTCAGGGATATTGTAGCTTTCTAATGGAGAAAGAATATTTTAATGGGACCAGTAATTTATGAGTTAATTCATTGCCAACAAAAATACAAATCTTCTTCTATTGCAGTGGTGAAACTTTTTTATATACAAACAATATCTTACTAATATAAATGCGAATGTTTGGATGGATGTTTGTTACAAGGTATCTCCAGAACGGCTACACGAATCTCGCTAAAGTTTGGCATAGATGTTGTTGTTGTTGTTGAAGTTTTTTTTTTTAAATTTCTGCGGGGAAGGAGTCGCGGGATACACCTAGTATTCTTTTTAAAATGTTTCGACAGTAGAAAACCACAATAAGTGTAGAAGTAATTCGTTCCACACTATGTCACAGCGCTGCATATTGTTCCACAAGCGTAATTCGCTGTAAGAAGTTGGGAACATGGTGAAACTATAATTCCACGTGCCGATTACCACGTTAGTAAATAGCGATATTATCATTTCTTGTTAGGCATTTCATAAACAAGAAGCCATTAAATGGATTTCCATGTGTAAAAACTACAATAGTTTCAAAAGAGCCGAGGGAATAGGAGCTTATTAGTGCAATTTCGTCACTCGAGTTTTTAGGATTTTGTGATATATCGCATCTTTTGTGATGTTTTATTTGATTGCGAGAATATGGATACAATAAGATTGTACTGTAATATTTTCATTATTAATCTAAAATCTTTATACCAACCAAATAAGCAATAGTCATACATATGTTCTTACAAACACGCCTTTAAAATTACAAAGCACTTACGTCTTGCAGTCCGTTCTC